TCCCGCTCCCGCTCCCGCTCCCCACCTCAGGAGCGCCACGACAGTACCAGCAACGGGACAGCCCGGCTACCCCAGTTGGGGACCGTGGGTCAGTCTCCCTACACCAGCGCCCCGCCGCTCTCCCACACCCCCAACGCCGACTTCCAGCCGCCCTACTTTCCCCCCCCTTACCAGCCCATCTACCCCCAGTCTCAGGACCCCTACTCCCACGTGAACGACCCGTACAGCCTCAACCCCCTCCATGCCCAGCCGCAGCCCCAGCACCCAGGATGGCCGGGACAGAGGCAGAGCCAGGAAACGGGGCTGCTCCACACGCACCGGGGTTTACCCCACCAGCTTTCGGGGCTCGACCCACGCAGGGACTACCGGCGGCATGACGACCTGCTGCACGCCCCGCACGGGCTGGGCTCGGGGCTGGCCGACTTGCCCCTCCACTCCATCCCCCACGCCATCGAGGACGTGCCGGTAAGCCAAGGGGCCGCCCCGGGGCCCGCTCGTCCCTCTTCTCCGTCCTCCTTCCCCGTCCCCCTCCCCGCGGGAGCCCAACGTCGGGGGAGGGGAGGGACGGAGGGGGACCCCCGCCCCCCCAAAAAAAAAGAAAACGGGGAGGGAAGAAGAGAACTCCCCCCCGCCCCCCAGGAAAAGTGAAGCCCCCACCTAGAACAATAGGTTCTCGCAGCTCGTCCCTGCGCAATGCCTCCCGCTAACGCGCCCGCTAAAATATAAATAAATCAAATTACTGTCATCGTTAACAATATCTTTCCTTCTCAATGACAATAAGCTGTTACGATTGGAAGAATATATAATATCACCACAGGGCTGTGCATTTGGGGATTTCTTGCTGCCTTGGGAAAAACACAAGTCTGAAATGCGAGATGTCATTAAATGTCCTCACAGGCAAACATAACGGGAAAAAAAAAGTAGGTGAAAGTGGCCAGAGAAGGAAAAATCGGTATCCCGCGATTACAGGATTTGCATATAGGATAACCACATCCAAAGTTATAAAGGGTATGGGCAGACCCTCTTCTCTAAAGGAATTAATTGACAAATCAGGGAAGAGGTATACTAAAACGCTGCCACCTTCTTTTAGTAGCGGTGCAAAGGGATGACCTCATAAATCATTAGCTATAGGTTATCGAATTTGAGCCAGACCTGCTACACCCTATATTAAATTAAATGTTGAGAGCCTATTGGAGGATGCTTTATTTGGGGGACCTAATTCTGTTATCGATAAATACAGATTTAAAAAATGATTTCTAATTAAGCATGACATTAGCACACAGGCTACTTACAAAGCAAGCCAGGGCTATTGTTCAGTTAGGAAAGTGGCCTTATGCAACATGATCGGTCATGATCAAAGTTCATCTTTCTGGGTTTCTCCCTGAAAATGGAATTAGAACATGGCAATAAATTTATTAAAGCCCACAGAGCTTGTGCTGAGGGACCGAAGCTGCTCGACTTGCAGAAGGAAAGAGGAGGAGGGAACTGTGGTATCTGGATGTGATTTTTGCTGAAATGCCATCCCAAATTACAGGATCAAATATTACAACAATATATTTGCTGACAGTTTAATGAGTACAGTTTCATGTTGCAAGGATAATGTTCATATGAACTTACCTATTTTTGGGGGTCATTTTGAAATCTTTTGTAAATTATACTTGGGGAAAATAGTGAATTTATTACAGCCCTCATCTGGCTAAATTAGCCACAGAAAATTGCTGGTTGTGTTTAGCAGTTTTGCAATAAACGCATACATTTCCCAAAGTGGAGGATTTAGTAAGCAATTTGGATCCGTTAAAAGCAGGTCAATTCTTTAAACTTGATATAAAATAACATGGAGGCAATCGTAAGAATAAACTAATTTGTTGACTGCAAGCCCCTGATTGCTGTAGGAAGAACATGACCTAAAATGTTCTCTTGAATTCTCCCTCTCCTCAGTTGTGCTCCATGGCAGTGGGGTGATTCTGGAAGCCTCCTCTGCAGATCTATGAATTAATAGCATTGCTATACTTTGTGAAAACCGAATGCCATCTGGTTTAAATCCTTGAGCCAGCCAAACCATTTTTTTCTCTGTAAAATTGAATCAGCGGGCTTCATGAGGGAAAGTATAAAATAGGAGGATGTATCTTTTAAGAGTATTTTATCTATTTTTTTTAAATAATCCTCTACAGAAATCTGGGCTGGGAGGGTCGTCTTTTTAATATTTCCGTTGCTGCAACAGTTAATCTTTAATAAAAACGACCGCTAAATGTTTAAGAAAGTCAAGTAGATGGTGAAAATTATTTAATCATAAATATCTCTGTGGGATTTTAAACTTAACAGTCCTCCCTGTATGGAATATGTGTAGAAATAACACAAATAAAAGTATTATGCCACACTACATTTACTTTATGGGTTTAGGGTGCATGCATAAAGGGATCATATTTCCCCATATAGTTAAAACACAAGAACTGCAGCAGTAGTCATTTCTGAACATTTCTCAATTTAATTATACTTAAATCCAGAAGCACTTTAGGCAAGTTACAAATGAGAGCATTGAGTATAATAAAACCTGTAATAAAGCAACTTAGTACCATCCACCCGGAATCATTGAGATCAGGCACAATTAACAGGAGCATAAATCCAAGACAGAATGGAAAATGTTAGAATCAGTATTATTGTTGGACAAAGACTAGAGAAGGAAGTAATAGTTTTTTAAATGGTAATGCCTGGGTTTTGTAACGATTGCGAAATCTTCTATCTCAGCAGCACTGGTGTTAATTTGTAAACACAGCCAGACATTATATTGCCTGTCAGTTTTTGGAATTAGAAAACATGATTTCATTTGACTTTCTAATCACGTCGTGACTCCGCCGCGCGAACCCCAGCTGTAGCGCGACCGCGGAACCTGTGAGGGGACAATAGTGGGGGAGCCCGGGGCCGCGCAGGATGCGTGAGCCCCCCCGGCACCGCACCGGTCCCCACTCCTTTGTGCTTTCCCTCCCGCGGGCGCGGGAGAGTGCGTAGCGGCGGAGAAGGGTCGGGCCGGGCCGGGGCTGCTTCCCGGGGAGGAGGGAAGGGACGGGATGAGGAAGCCCGCAGAAGCTGGAGGCCACTTGGGCCCCGGGGGTTTGTGAGTGATTTATTATATTTTTCTTGGGGATCGCGGGAAAGAGCTGGGAGGGATGCAGGATTCCTCCCGATAAAGGAAATCCCCGCAAATCCCCTCTTCTCCCCCTCTCCCCGTGCAGGATCTGTTGTTTCCCTCCCCACACCGTGCCCGGGAAGGAGGGAGGGGGGCACACAACTTCTCCCGCACCCCATCCCACCTCGGCCCTCCCTGCCTTTTGTTGTGGTTGTACATTGACATCCCTGCCTGTTCCTTTTGTTGCAGCACGTAGAAGACCCCGGTCTTAACATCCCAGATCAAACTGTAATTAAGAAAGGTAAGCCGTTTCCTTGCGCATACCAAACATGTCGTCACAGGCTGGGGACTGCTCGAATGGAGGACTTACCCGGCCTCCCCCCCCTCCCCTCCAGCCCCCCCGGCCCCGGGCTCCTTCCTCTGGCATGTACTGTTGGCCAAAATATTGGAAGCAGAGAAAGAAAAATGGGCGATGTGGGTTGAAATGCGCCTTCTTAAAAGGCCATGTTTGCCGGCTATTTTAATTGTTGTTGTCATTAACGAGGAAAAATGTTAGCAGATGATCTAGAAAATCCGACCCGGTCTTTTAGTGCATTAGCGAACAATTGGGTTTCATGGTTTGACCCATGCATCTAGCTGAGCAGTGGGCTTGAATCGTTGTTGGTAAACGAGGCTGAGAAAGTGAAATTGTTGTTCCCCCTCCTTCGGGTTTTCTTACTTAAATCACGACGGTGATGAGGTGGAATGGTGGAGAACAAGGGGCCAGTTTCTGAAACTGATGCCTGTCGGTCAGGGTGCTTTGGTTTTCGTTGGCTTCGTGCGCTTGCTTCACTTCGAATTGAATTGCTTGGAAGCTGGTCCCCAAATCGAGCAAAATATTTATTGCATGTTTTCAGTCGATTTTCATTTCCCATCTTTCTTCGGACAACCGAAGTATTAGTAAAGGTGGCACAGGGCATTTTGCAAAGGCAATTCTTGGTGGAAAGCGATGGATTTGCATTTGGATGCTGTGTAGTGAACTGCTGTTGGAGTAAAATGGGCAGGGCTGAAGGCATAGCTAGCTCCTGCCTGCTCTGAGGGGTGCCACGGCTGCGCGATCGCCTGGAATTTGGGTACCCTGGCCACCACCGGAAGAGATGCTGAGTAGAGGCACTCTCCTCTCTAACCCCAATAGCTGTACAGCCAGCGAACCTGAAGTTTCATTCTGCCCCCCCACCCCCTCCCCGTAAAGCCTTTGTCACGTCAAATTAGATGTGCAAGGGATAAATCTTAAGAGATGCTCTTTCCAAGTCGACATGATAATTGGCTCTTTTATTAGTAATCTCAAGAGTTCGTTTAACTCCTGTTGTATCTATTAGCCTTCCCAGAGCTATTAATGTCACAAGTGATCTATCCAAAACGGAGAGAGCCCCCCGCTTGGTTGGACTGCGCCCGCCAAGCGGTGCGGATTGAGGAGGAGGAGGAAGGGAAGGCGGCCGGGACGCGAGGCCGGCGGGCACCGCCAGCCGAGAGGCGGCACGACCCGGCACCTCCCCGCCCGCCGCCGCCGGGCAGGGGCCGGGCTATATTTTGGGGCGCAGGCTCCTCGCTGCGTTACGGGTTTTCCATGCCAGAAGTTGCGCGCTGCTGGCGGGGCCTCTGGGGAGCTGCGCCGCTGCCCGGGCGCTGCCCGCGCTTCGCGAGCACGGCAGCCGCGATTCCCGGCCCGGGCCGCCGGACACGGCCCGCACCGACGGGCTTCACCGACAGCGTGCGCCGGGCCGGGGCTGCGCGGGCCGCCGGGTTCTCCGCTGCTGTCGAGGGTTGTCCCGCTCTCTCCCTGCGCCCCCCGACGAGAAAGCGGAGGGGCGCCCCCGCTCCCTCCCCGCTGCCCCGCGGGCGGTGCGGGGCCGGGGCCGGCCGCAGCGAGCGGCTCGGGCGCTTCCCCCTCCCTCCCCGGCTCCCCGCCCGCTCCTCACCCTCACCTCCCTGCTCCTCCCTCCCTGCAGGCCCCGTGTCCCTCTCCAAGTCTAACAACAACGCCGTCTCCTCCATCCCCATCAACAAGGACGCGCTCTTCGGCGGGGTGGTGAACCCCAACGAGGTCTTCTGCTCGGTGCCGGGCCGCCTCTCGCTGCTCAGCTCCACCTCCAAGTACAAGGTCACGGTGGCGGAAGTGCAGAGACGCCTGTCGCCGCCCGAGTGCCTCAACGCCTCCCTGCTGGGCGGAGTGCTCCGGAGGTGAGGGGCGGGGGGACGCGGGAGGAGGCGGGATGCCGTGCGGGAGGGAGGGCGGCAGCGAAGGAGGGAAGGAGGGAGGCAGGGATGCGAGCGCCCACGCGGGGCGGCGGCGCGGGGGGAAGCGCGGCGGCCGCCGCCAGGGGGCGGGGCACGCGCGGCCGCCCGGGAGGCACCGCCAGGCCGCGGGAGGGGAGGGGGGGTGGTGGTCCGTGCGCTGTCGCCATGGCAACGTGCAGCCTTGTGTCGTCCCCGATGCCCCGCTTTGGGGACCCCTGTGTGTCCCTTCCCCTGCCACGGCGATGGACACCCCACACAGACACTCCCATGCCCCATAGGAGTGGTTTGCTGGCCGGCACCCTGCCATGGGCTCCCACCTCTGTGGCCTCACCCAGGCGATTAGGCAGCGCCCGGGCAGGGAATAACATCCAGAATTAATTAAGGCAGCTCGCATCTCCACAGGCCCACTTAGCACTTAGTACAGGGCTCTGCTAAAAAGCCATAGATGGGCCACATAGGTTTTGGTGTGAGGGCAGCGATGCCAGCCTTACAAATCCTTCTTTTCCTGTAACACCTGGGGAGAAGCTGCCCCTCGGTCCATGGCACCTTGGAGGCAGCTACCTCAGAGCTCCTCAGCAGCCCTGGCCTGATCCAGACTTTAGTGAGGGCCCCTGTTCCCTAGACATGGAAACATCCAAAGAACCATCCCTGTGTCTGAGACTCAGCTTTCAGCAACAGTTGGTCTTCAGCCACCCACAACCATTTATCCCATTCCATGTGCCCAAACCCTTTACCCCCCTCCAAGGGAAGGCGATGTGTTGGGGGGATCTGTGGGCAGGAGCTAAAGCAGGAGCATGTGTCCCCCTCAAGCCCCATTTCTCAATGCCTTTTTGTGCGGAGCAGGGCAAAGTCTAAAAACGGAGGGAGATCTCTGAGGGAGAAACTGGACAAAATAGGACTAAACCTGCCAGCCGGGAGGCGTAAAGCTGCTAACGTTACCTTGCTCACATCACTCGTGGAGGGTAAGTGACTCAAAGAGCTGGGAGAGCTTGTTTGGAAAATGTGCCTATTGCTTTTGCCAAAAGGGAGAAAACGTGATGTTTGGTTGTTCATGGCTTTTTTTTCTTTCCCCAAAGTCGGTGCTGCTTACTGGCATTTGGAAGGGCTTTATTTTCTATGTCTTAGAAAAAGAACATATTAATTGTGTGCCTTTGCTTTTTGTTTTAACCTGAAACGGGCTTGAGTGAGTCCTGCAGACTCAGTAATGCGTTCTGCCATTTATTTGCTTTTAAGCTTCTGAGAGATGTTTTCAGGGCCCCATCTTGCTTTCAAGTGAGTAATCCTTCCACCTAGTAGGCAGATCTCATTGGGAGCAGCATGGGAAGGATGCCTATGAAGAGGGGCTGCAGGCTTAGCTCCATAAGAGACCCCCGAGTGTTGAGTTGGAAGTTACAGGCAGCAGAGCCTCTGATACTTCACTGCTGTCCTTCTGCCACAGGTGGACAGCCAAGCAATTTTAAATGTCAGAAACTGCAGCTACTTTAAGTTTGTTCTCCTTCCCAGCCTACAGCCACATAACAGTAAATCATTTAACTTTTCTGACATCTGCATTTGAGAAATGCATGACCATTACTTCCTGAATTAATTTGGGAATCCTTGACCTCAGCCATGAATTAATGGTGTCCTGAAAGCCTCAAAGTTGCACCACCACCAGCCCCCACTCCCTGTTGGTTTTCATTTTCAGAACACATGTTCCTTTGGCTGTATCGTTCTCCTCTACTTTGCTCTGGCCAGAAAAGGTGCAAGTTACTTTTAATGCTTTGGGATGTCCTATGCCGTCTGTACCGGAAGGTGGGAACCTCAAGCGTATACAGTTATTTAGTTTTGAAGCAGTGGCTCTTGCACACTAATTGACACAAAGTATGCCCAAGGCATGCAAATAGTTCTTCTCCTTTCCCCTTACTAATGGGTTCTGCTGCGTTTTAGACTGGTTCATTTTGCAAAGCACTTTTAAACTCAGCCTGAGCTGCGCGGGTTTAGCTTAAGTTTGGTTGTGTAGGCGGGAATCTGTTTTGTTTTTGCTTCACGGTCTACGAGAAATGTTTCATGTTCAAAGGGGACGGGGAAAGAAGCGCTGCGATGCCAGGCTTTAAACATCAGGATTAGTGAACGAACTATATTTATATTGCGTGAAAATTACCGCATCTTCATGTTTTTGAAAGGGCTTTGCGATTGCATTAACACATCACGAGGGCAAAACTTGTAAAAAGTCTAGATTTGGTAGATGCTTAACACTATTTGTGATGTTAATGAATATGGAGAAGGTTTTATGGTAATCTATTGTTCTGTTTGGCTTTCACATACAAGGGCTTTAAAAGAATGATTTTTTAAAAAAACAAAACCAGAGGCCCTATCTTCAGATAACTTAGCTATGGTGGCTAATTTTGGGGGGATGATAGTATAAACATTGCTGGGGCTTTGAGTCCTGTAGCGATGAGGCACTTTCTAGGTACTGTTATTGTTTATGATCCGCTCCATTTTATGGAAACAAGCTCACTGGACTGAGGCTTTGAAGCTCTAATTGGCGCATGCGTTCTTCCGGAGCTAGAGCTAATGGCAGGAAGCCCTGCAGTAAAAACCAACTGGTTCAGGAAATTAAAACCAAAGATTTGAAAATCAACAAAACAGACAGACTCGGTGGAATGACCCTAAAATTCTCATGGTTAATCGTTTGGGGGTGAACATATAATTATATGCGATCAAGTTAAATTTTAAACACTTAGCTGTTTAATGCATTTTATTTAGAACAGCTCTAGGAGTAATTATGATCAATATTAATCATTGATGCATTGCAAAATAATATAGAGATGTGGCTGAGGCAAACACATTTTCAGAGTAAATAGCTGTGAATAAAAAGTACATAAATGGCTCTCTATAGGTATGGATATGTAAATCAAAGCACACAGTCTAGGTGAATGGAGCCTGTCTGTCTGCAAGTATCTGTTAGTCAACGTAAACTTTTAAAAATCCTTATGTGAGATTTCACTTGTAATGATTGTCATGAAAATACACATTTCCATTGCCTTTGTCTGAAGCAAAGAAAACTCCTGAAAGATAAGATGTAATTAGCATTTCTTGCCCTACCTTTATCAAAGAGAAAAAGTCCAAGCCTTTTAGAGGAAAAGCCCAAGTAGAATGTAGTTGGGTTTTGGTTTTTTTTTTCTAATGGATTTTTGCCTCTGTAGGATGTGTACTGATGAGCTGTGTGTTTCTTTCCATTCCACCCATGACTCCCTATTCAGGAGAAGCAGTACATCTAGCTAGAGATTTTGGGTACGTTTGTGAGACAGAATTTCCTGCCAAAGCAGTAGCTGAATTTCTCAACCGACAACATTCCGATCCAAACGAGCAAGTCACAAGAAAAAACATGCTTCTAGCTACAAAGTAAGACATTTAACTTTCTGGCATGTTGCTCAGAAATGAGGGAGGGGAACAAACCCGGGTTTGGGGCTTTTATTTGTGAACATATTTGTTTGCCACATAACCAGTGGTTGATGGTTTCGCAAATTGTGAGGGGGTGTATTTGCCTTCCTGATACAGGAGAACTCTATAAGCCAGCTTGGTTTCCATCAAGTCACTTTGTGCAGATTACATTGAAAGCGAGTTGTGAAAATTGTGGGTGGGTGTTTAGTTACAGAAAAAGGAGTAATTCTTCAGAGCAAAACATTTTCTGGGCCTGTTCACTTAGCTTATCAATTTAGGTAGAAAGGGAAGGCTTCCCATTGAGAGTAAAATAAAACTGGCATGTTATACTGATTTCAGTTCATTAAAATCCGCAATGGTTCTTTCTGCCTAAGCAGCTCTGTTACTTAGCAAATATAGGGATATTAAACATATATTTTAAATGACAATCTGTATGCAGTTAAAATGCTAGTGGAGTTTATCACTGGTGGGGCTGCCTAGATTTCCAGGTGGTGCGTGAAAAGAAAATGATTGTTATGGTATGTTTGCTGGAAATTAAAAGGGTTGTTTAGTAGCCCTTAATTACCAGTGGAGGTGTCACCAAAGGGCACAGTGCCAGAGGGCACAGGTTGAAGATGGGAGACACTTTATGGCTGGAAGACATTAACATGGGTTTTAGAATACCAACTATTTCAACATACCTCTCAGCTCTCTTGCTATAAGGTGTGTTATTTCCCCAACCATTTGTGCAGTGAGTGGATGATATAATCTATTTTCTGCACTGTGCCCTCGTATCCTCCCTTTCCACCTCCCTGGAAGGAAATTTCCAGACCCTGGTTAGCGTCAGCTTTCCCCTCTGTGGAAAAGTCCCTTTGGATTTGGAGATAGAGATGTACATATATAAGTTTTTCAGAATACCCTAATTTAAAGCCTCAAGTCCCCTCTCTGCCCTCAGTCATTCTTCCTGGCACACAGGTGTGTTTTAGCCTTGTGAAGAAAGAGGCCTATACCTCTCTTCAGTTTCCTCTCCCTCACCCCCAAAGGAAAGGGATCTTCCAAGATGTGGATAAATCCCTTAACCTACCTTTGGATAGCGCGGCCCATCTATTACCTTCCAGCCTGCTGGAAAACTTTAAACTTCATATGTGCTCCAAACTCTAGCTGAACAGGAATGTGTGGTTGTGGAGACAGTGCTGGGGAGCTGAGATATGGAGATCGGCAGGGATAGGCAAGAGGCGGGTGTCTCTCGTGTGCCTGTTACTTGCCTGTGTGTTGGCTGTGGCCAGGGCATGATGTGGTGTGCAGTTGTGTGTGCATGCAAGGTGAAGGGAAGAGGTTTGTACATGCTGGGGAAATGTGAGAATTAGGGGGAAGGATGCGTAGAGAAGAGAGGGAGAGGCGAGAGAGTGTGTTTGCACTCGGGGACAGCAGCCCCCTTGATCCAGGGGCTTGTGCAATCTGGCAGGGAGAATGCACAGGCTTTGCTGCCACCAGTGATGGTTCATTTCCCTCCCTCTCTCTTCCCCTTGCTCCCTCCCTCCGTCTCTCTGCTCCATTTATGCTACAGACAGATCTGTAAAGAGTTCACCGACCTGCTGGCTCAGGACCGATCTCCCCTGGGGAACTCACGGCCCAACCCCATTTTGGAGCCGGGCATCCAGAGCTGCCTGACCCACTTCAACCTCATCTCGCACGGCTTTGGGAGCCCGGCGGTGTGTGCTGCCGTCACCGCCCTGCAGAACTATCTCACCGAGGCGCTCAAGGCCATGGACAAAATGTACCTCAGCAACAATCCCAACAGCCACACAGACAACAGCACCAAAAGCGGCGACAAAGAGGAGAAGCACCGAAAGTGAGGATCCCCCCCCACACACACTCCTCTCCCTCCCCCCTCATAGCCCATCGATCCATTCATCTCCCTCCCTCTCCCCTGCACCCAGCACCCCAGGCTACAGCAACAGAATGAGCGTCCTTCTGCCAGTCCTGTTCTCTGACTCCGCAGGACTGCTCTGCCCTCTCTCTGCACCCCTTCCTAGTATCCACATTTCCATTTGCTCCCTCTTAAATCCCCCCCTACCCCTGACTCCCCATTGCCACCATCGATTTACCCCAGTTTGGAGCCTAAGAGAACAGAACAGGGGGACGGAGCCAGCAAAGAAAAAAAGTTCTGTCTTGAGTTTGTGAACTTTTTTTTAAATAAAACAAAAGGAGGAAAAAAAACAACAACAACAACAAAAAAAAACAAAACAAAAAAGAAAAGGACTTTTTTTTCTAAAAATATATTAAAAAAAAAACAAACAAAAAGAAATAAATAATACTTAAAAATTCTATGAGCTTCACCGGACTGAATCACCACCTTCCCTTACATAAACTTCAGTTAAGATTGTAGCCATATTAAAAAAGAAAAAAAAAGCGAAAAAGTACAACAGCAACAGGAGACATACGAAAGGCAAAAAGGACTGATGACATTTTATCAGTATTGTGAATAAACTTGAACACAAAACACAAGCGGTTCCATGTCATATCTTCAGTTGTAGAACTTTTTCCTGTCCAAGGTAAAGCGACCAACTTGAACTTTCTATTGCAACACGATTCACGGTTATTATATAAGGGAATCAGTGTTCATGTATGTATATATTTATTTATGTGTAATTTAATGGGAATTGTAAATATGGTGAGTTTGTTTTAAGCCTTTTTTTATTTATCTGGTGATCTCGTTTACCTCTTGTTTAGTGGGTTTTAAATCTTCCCCTCTTAGTTCATCATGTGGTTCATGGTACTTATTTAGATATCAGAGGTTTTTTGGGGGTTTTTCTCTGGGATTCATCATTTTTAGCCCTGTTGTAGCATGTTAAAGGCGACAATGAAGCAGCTGAACAAATAAAAAAACATGAATTTTTATATATAATTAGTATGACATTTAGTTTCTCATTGAAGATAAAATAAAGTGATGTTGGACCCTGGCAAGGTTTTTAAACATATTAGTGGTTTTACAACCGTTATGTGTTGTGGAAAATGAAAGAAGTTATTTTTATCCACTGTCCTTCTCCCGAAAGCACCAACAGAGCAATAAATTAATATTGTCTTTTAAAACAGATTTAGCTTTTCTTTCCTTTTTTTCCCCCTCTTTTTTTTTCTTTCTCCCTTTCTTTTGTTTTTATTTTTCTGCTTTTTTTCTTCTCTTTTTTTTTTTTTTTTTCCCAAAGAACTTCAAACATTCGGGACCACCTGGTATCCTGTATTTCCACTGGCCATATTGGAAGCAGTTATAGTTGTATTGTATTGAGTTGTGCCGGCAGTAGTTTCCATGCCTATCAATGTATCATAGTCCTTTGTTGCCCAGATAAATAAATATTTGATACGCTTTATGTCGATTTTTTTATTCAGTAGCTGTCTTTACCCAGGCGTATTTTTGTTCTTGGCAGTATTTTTTATTCAGTATGGTTACAGTAATTGAGTTTAACTCTCCCTTGACAATTGCTCCTTGCAATAAGCAGCTGAACCCATTGTTTCCCTCAAGTATAATAAAAACTTACTTTCAACTTGGAGTTCAGAGCAGGGTATCATTTAGATATTCCACTGAGTCTGTATTCAGACAAATGACACAATAAAGCACAATGTATTCTTTTGGATAAAAAATTGTCTGTACTACTAACAAAATGACACACTATCTTTTCTTTAACCAAAACATAATTTTATTTAAAAAATAAAGTTTTATTTTATTTATGTTGACCTCTAGGTTTTTATTTATGTATATATATAGCGTACAGAATTATAAGCCTATAAAATTTTGTGCATGTACTTGTCCTAACGGAGAGCAGAGATTAAAAAACACGTCTCAAGAAGGACACTTTAAAAAGAATCATTACTGAGCAAATACTGAAAATTAATGCTATAAAAAAAATTATATACTGATGAATCAGAGCTGGGTGCTCCCTCCCCCTCAACTGAATAGAAAAGCTCCGTAGTCGATGCCAACAAAATCATCTCACGGTTGTGAACTTTAGTGAAATCTTGCAGGAGACAGATTATTTCTGATTGATGGTTCGTGTTTTAGTGGAATGCACAGACTGACATTTTGAGATGGTTGTGTCAGTTTATAAGGGACTGAAATTTTTATCTTGAGTTTCTTCTTGTGGAAACCAGTTGTGAAATAGGGAACTTCGCTTTAAAAAAATGGAGTGTACATCTTGAAGACGGGCTGTAAAAACATGTGAGAATTCAGATTTTGAATCTATTTTCTTTGGCCCGGAGGGTAGGTGAAGTCAGGATCAGGCTGGATTATGTTATATCATAGGAAGGGAGACTTAATGCAGTTTAGAATGTAAAGGCATTTTAAAGAGAGGGTTTCCTTTAAGTGCTGATGGTATTTTGGTGGTGGTGACTGATTTTTCTCTCTTTCTCTTTCCTTTCCTCCCTGACTTTGTCTCTCTCCTTTTTTTCCCCCTTTTTGCTCAGGCAGAAATTGAGGAGGTTAAGAGGGAGATGTTTACAATAAAGCTGCACAGAGAATTAACATTTACTCATATATTTTGACGTTTGGTAGAGCTGGTGAAGCAAAGCATTAGATAAAGCCCAAGATGTTTCATTTTGCTTTGGTAATCTACTTATGGAAGGCAGTGTAAAATCAATCTTTCCAAGCAGAAAGAGAGTTGGTGGAGTCTAAATTCTATTTTCAAGAGCCAGCTAGTTTATAAAAATGGTGAATATTTTTTTTCATAAATTGAAAGTGGATCTTTTGAATGCAAAGCTGCAATTGTTTTAAAAACAGTTATTTATTATTTCCAAGAGAGACTGGTTAACCGTAAAGTAGATGTAACAAAATAATGAGGTGAATGAACCCTAACTGTACATATTCTTGACATAAATGAAATGCACAGTATTGTAGCAGGTGAAGTGAAGCATTGTCTATCAGGGCTGTTTTTCTTGGCTGCATCTCAGATTGTGTGTGGGATCCTAACCTCAGGCACAATAGCATTCATAAACAGCAATACATTGCTGCTCTTTCTACAGCAACACATAAATACTCATTTTTAAACAAAAACAATCTTATTAAATACCATTCATTCATATCTGGATTTACAGATGCTTGTTACTTTTTGAAACCTGTACCCAATATAATCATTTTATACTGGGCAATGTATAAAGCAGTCTTATGCTAGAACATTATAAGGTAATAATAAATAATGTTTTAAAGATATAATTAGCTACTTTATGCTAGGAGAGCACGTTTTAAGCATCCTGCTGCTGCATTAGCAAGCCACCAAAAACTAGAAATGAAATGACCTTGCATGGATTTCTTTATTACTATTATTTCTAAGGAAGGATTTTACAGGCGATAATGAAAATCAGACTAGCTTTGGTTCAGCCTCGTCTGCTGTGACCAATATGCAGTTACCAAAACGTGCTAATTACTTTAGCGTTCTTTGGGTGCATTTTTAACGTTCTGATTGAGGTGCAGCAGTGAAATTCTAGGTCATGCTTTTATATACCAAACAAAAATCTGTTGTTTTTTTTTTTTTCCCCCAGATCAGTTGAAATGAGGGTGAGTGGTGGCTGAATGTTAGACCATAGCTGCCATGCTAAGCTAATTCCTACATGTGAACCAAAATACAGCCTGGTGCTCTTCACCGTGAACAAGGACAGCCCTCCTCTTTGTACCGTAATTTACCCCACCCTCCAAAAATCAAATATTAATATAATTTGAGATTTAACTGGAGGAACAGCCATCAGGACAGCAATGCCCCGCAGCTGAAATAATATTTAAAATAGAAGGGATTTGACATTTGAGAAGTCAGTGGCTTGAAATACCCAGTTGTACTTAGCTAATTCAGTCCTTAACCTCTGGTTTCAAATAAATCAATTACAGTCGATTCCACTTCAGTTCAGAAGTGCACAAGGTTTTTAGTTAATTGAATACATTTTATTCACTTGCTAGGAGTATTCAGTTATCCAAACCCTTACATTTAAAGGCAATTTCTTTATTGTCCATGATAAATTTGACTGCATAATCAGATCAGCTCCTTGTTTGTTAACTTGTCTTCTGCCTCCCATTTAAATTCCAGAATGTGCACTTCCCTTTCCCTCCTCAGTATGTGCATGTCTCAGCCCAGACCGGATTCCCAGAGCCTCAGCCCTCGCATTTGCAAAGTGCAGCTAAAATAACCAACGCCCTTTGGACAGGGAGCAACATGAAACCCATCCCAGCTAGTGAGGGCAGAGTGATTTAAAGTGGCTTGATAATCAAATGTGAAAGGTTGGAAGTATAAAAAATAAATGGTGCCTCCAATTCTGTCCTGTGCACCTCTTCTGTGTGAAAGGGCTGTTTCTGCTCCCTGTCCTGCAGGGAGCAGCTGGAGCTGTTAACTCTTAGAGAAGATTTGGAGCTGGCTTGGTGTCAGCAGGGTAAGATTTTTGTCAAGCACTGGACTATGAAGTTGTGTCCCTGATCCCCTTTGAACAGATACTGATATATGCTGTATTTTGTGCATGTTGTTTGCAGAATCCTGCTGGCATTGGTTTACTGTTTTGGAAAGGAAAGGGGTTAATTAGCGTCATTATCAATCACTAATGCTTGTCTAACATGTCCAAAGAATAATCAAGTTAGGGGACTGCACGAAGCTAACATCTGCTTCATTCCAGTTAAAGATTTTTCCTTATATCGTTCAATTATTGGAAGTCCACACCGGTTTCAGGCTTTGTCATGGCCATAAAGAAGGGTCAGATCGTTAGAAATCTAGAATGGAGGGGAAAATGCAATATAAATAACAAATGACTTCATTATTTGAGTTACAGGTGAAAGAATGGCCGTAAAAACGAACAGGGATTACTAAAATGTGTTCCTTCTTTTTATCTCCAAGACAGAGGAAAAAATAAATCAGCCAAGCCCAGTTCTTAAATCATTTATTCTGCATAGGCTGCAGCCTCTCTCTTTGTGGTATTTAGTTTAGTAACCCCAAATTCCCCAAAAGAAATAGTTTAAAGTAAAGGACTGGAAAGGGAGGAAAAGTTAAAGTCTATTAGAATGTTACCAGCAGAGCAGTATGGTCAGAATAGCAAAATAGCCTTGTTTTTCTTCATCTAGTTGAAGTTTCTAGGCTTTCTTGGGTGGACGAAACAGCTGGTATTTCAGGCAGGGTAAACATAGGTTATACAGTTTATGATGGTGGTAAAGATTTCTGTCCTTGAACTGCTACTCCGTTCTGGTGCTGTAGATACAAAGGTGACAAATCTGTGGTCTTTTATTCCCTCTTACAGTCACTGTAGTCATACCTCTGATGCTGAGTTCAA